TCTCTTTGTCTTTTGCTCTTGGCATTTTAATTATGATGTGTCTTGGTGTGGTCCTCTTTGGATTCCTTTGTTTGGGGTTCTCTGCGCTTCCTGGACCTGTAAGTCTATTTCTTTCACCAGGTGGGGGAAGTTTTCTGTCATTATTTCTTCAAATAGGTTTTCAATATATTGCTCTCTCTCATCTTCTAGCACCCCTATAATTCGGATGTTGGTACGCTTGAAGCTGTCCCAGAGGCTCCTTACACTATCTTCGTATTTTTGGATTCTTTTTTCATTTTGCTTTTCTGGTTGGGTGTTTTTTGCTTCTTCGTATTTCAAATCTTTGACTTGATTCTTGTGCTCCTCTGGTCTGCTGTTGGGAGTCTGTATAATATTCTTTATTTCATTCAGTGTATGCTTAATTTCTAGTTGGTTCTTTATCACAACCTCGACGGTCTCATTAGATTTCTTGAGGATCTCACTACATTTATCGGCGGTCTCACCAGTCTTTTCGAGGGCCTTATTAAATTTATTGGCGGCTTCTAGACAGTTCTTTAAAGACCTTAAAAGTGTGGTTTTGAACTCTATATCCAACAGTTTGCTTTCCTCCAGTTCTGTCGTTTGTGTCCTGTTTCTTTGTCTTGGCATTTTTTATGCTTCGCTGTGTCGATAGAGTGCCTTTCTGTGCTAAGTGTCCCAATTACCTGAGGTAGACACTCTTGGTGCACCCCCTTGTGGGCTTTGTGCACAGTCTTGTTGTAGTTAAGCCTTGATTGTTGTAGTTATCACTGTGAGGAATTGACCTCCAAGCCAATTGGCTGTGAGAATCAGCTGTGTCTGCAGTGGGAAAACTTCTGTGCTGTAGACACCCCTCTGGGGCTAGACTTGCTTCGATGGGGCTTTGGTGCTCACTGAGTCTGCCCCCTGAGTGTGTCTTTTATGGTTCCATGGAGCTGCAAACTGGATGGTCCCACTCTGACCTCTGGGATTCCTGGCTCCTGGATCTCTAGGGAGGTGCTAATCTAGCCTTTGCCTGAGGCTATCCAGCAAAAGTCTCCCTGCAGGGCTTGGGCAGGGCGGGTCCCACGGGATCAACAGGGCGGGGTTAGCAACTATGGCTGCTCTCAGTCTTGCCCTCAGAGGCTCTGCTTCTCAGTGTCCCAGTAATCGCTGCAAGCCCCATGGAGAGAAAGCTGCCCTAGGGTTCTGACCAATGCCAGACAGTCCCGCTTCTCCCATATGAGTCTGGGTCCCCAGAGACTTGCCCGGAACTGGAGCTCAGAGCCTGAGACTCCCTTCTGATTGAAAACGCCCTCAGCCACCAGCCCGCTCTGCATGCACTCCGCACCTTAGTATTTTACTTCAGCACTGCGCCTCCTCTGAGTCTCGGTATGTTTTTCTCTTTCCTCCTAGTTGTAGAACTTCCACTCAGCCAGCCTTCCTGTGGTTCTGGATGATGTCCGTTCCGTCTTTTAGTTGTATTTTTGAAGTGGTTGTTCGAGGCTGTGACCTCTTGTTTCATGGATCAATGCTCAACCGCTCAGCCACCCTGGGAGGGCTGTATTCTTTTTAAAAAATTGATTTTAGGGATAGGAAGGAGAGGAGAGAGAGAGAGAGAGAGAGAGAGAGAATGAACCTGCAACTTGGGTATGTGCCCTGACCGGGAATCAAATCCACCACTTTCTGGTATATGACGACATTCCAGACAACTGAGCCACACTGGTCAGGGCCTAGTGCAGTGATGGCAAACCTATGACATGCGTGTCAGAGGTGACACGCGAACTCATTTTTTTGGTTGATTTTTCTTTGTTAAATGGCATTTAAATATATAAAATAAATATCAAAAAATATAAGTCTTTGTTTTACTATGGTTGCAAATATCAAAAAACTGGAACTGGAGAGCACTATGCTAAGTGAAATAAGCCAGTCAATGAAAGAAAAATACCACATGATTTCACTCATTTATGGATAATAAAGACCATTATAAACTGATGAACAAAAATAGATACAGAGGCAGAGCAGCATCGAACAGACTGTCAAACTATAGCGGGAAGGCTGGGGAGGGTTGGGGGCGGGAGGGGGGTGGTAAGAGATCAACTGAAGGACTTGTATGCATGCATATAAGCATAACCAATGGACATAAGACACTGGGGGGTAGGGAAGGCCGGGGGAATGTCAAGGGAGGGGGAAGGAGACATATGTAATACTCTTTGTAATACTTTAAGCAATAAAACAAAATTAAAAAAATTTCTATATGTGCCACGGCACCAAAGTTAGGGTTTTTCAAAATGCTGACACGCCGAGCTCAAAAGGTTTGCCATCACTGGCCTAGTGAGTGCATTATTTTCCATACCTATTAGAATGCAGATCAGAAAGTTTACATTCACATGGTATGGCCATGAGTACATGTGATGAACGCTGTAATGTGTCACCCAGATCTCCCTATAGCAATGAAGATGTTATTCCTCCAGCTGCTGGGAGCACATTTAGAATATGGCCTCAGATATCAGCTGTCTTTAGGGATTGCCTTGGCTAAAGAATACTGCCTGACCCAAGATCATGCCTCCTTGAAAGGTAAGCCCACATCTAATGAGTAATTAATGCAGTGGTGTCAAGGCCCAGTCCTGCCTCTTAACCAAATTTGGGACAATCAGCCATTCTAGTTTGAGAGACTACCATGGGGCTGGCTGAGGCCTTTGTTGGGACTGCATCATAGCTTCATTTCTCCCTCTGCCCAATGCTGTTTCCTCCACCTTCTTTTCACAGGTGTTGTTCCCAAGGGCATTCTCTAATAAATACCTGGCACACTAATCTCAATCTCAGAGTCTGTTTTCTGGGGAACCCAGACTCTGTGACAATTGGTGACAGGAGTGGTCTGAAGAAGCAGGTATTATGGGATTTTGGACCTGGATCACCACTGCCTGGCTGGACTCCATTGAAGTGGTAGGTAGATATTCCCTGACACAGGGTAGCAGTGCAGTTAAAACTTTTCATTGGTGGAAGGGAATATATCAGCTATTGGTTGTATCAGGCATTTGAGAAATATAAGGAGAATAGTAATCTTTATAAAAATGGAATTTTGTGGTTATTCATAAGTTTGACATTTTGGAAAAAGATAAAAAGTTGAAAGTGATTAGTTGGCAATTTAAAGTTAAGTGTCAAATCCATTGAACCTTCTTGGTAGCATATAAAGAGGCTCTCTCCTCCTGCAGCAGGATGATAGAGAACGCAAAGGACCAGGCGCAGGACTTATGAGTAGTCAGTCTCTAAATGTGATTAAAATCCCAACTAAGGTAGGTCTGCTATGCCAAGGTCAGGGATCTGGTTAGGAAAGAATGATTATCCGACATACGAGAGAGACTTCTGGACCTTGAAAACGAATTCCCAGCTTCTCATGAACCCTCTGAGCATGTAGAAGTGGCCCACTTGTTGCTATTAAGAGCTAGCGTGCTCCATTAGGCTTGAACACAATACAGAGGCCCTCTCCTTTGCAAGGCATGTGTTTACCCCCTCAGGACTTGCCCCACCTCCCTGCATTGCTCTTCCTGGACAGTAGGCTATTTAGTGTTACATCTCAATGTACCCCAACTGGGGGTGTGTTATGCTTGCTAAGATAGGAAAGGTAAAATACCTGGATAAAACTGAAGCATCTAGTCAAAATGTACCAGCAGGAGCTGGGATAGTAGGCATAGGCAAAGATTTTGCTGAACCAAGGGAGGTAGAACACAAATTTGGATAAAAGATAGTTTGTAAATATAGGACTCTTTCCTGGAGTCCAGGATTTAATATCCTGGAAAGGACCCTGGAAGATGGTAAAAACACACTGCTAGGATGGATCCTAGAAGCATGGAAAGCATGTTGCTGACACTAAGTTGGGTAGAAATGCCTGAATTGTCCTGACAGTGATGAGAAGGCTCAGAGTGGAGCCTGCTGAGTGAATCTGTTATGTGAGGTCAGAATATCCACTGAAGGATTATGTTCCAGAGGAGGGCTCAGGGAACCTACTGTTCCCCAGGGCCATGAGGAATGTGCAGATGAGAGAGCATCGGCATCATTAAGAAGTTCATGTACAGGCCAGGGTGGACAGTAGGAGAGGCAATCACAGAGCTGGGCTCATTAACTAGCAGTGGAGATGATGGGAAAACCAAAGTAATAGAGGCCAGGTGGTTATGCTCAACTGCCAGAACTAGGTGGATATAATAATCATAGTATGGAGCTAGGCCAGAGAGGCAGCCAAGCGGGCCTGACTCAGTGGGAATTGTGGAGGTGGTTAATAAAATATAATATCCCTCAGTGGCAAAATAGTTGGAGATAAGGGCACTGGTCAATCTGCAAATCAAAAGCCATCAGGCTTGAATGATGAGGAGGCTGAGGGCAGTTGCTCCAGTACAAAGCCATTACCTCCTGCTGAGTTTCTGGACATGAGCTAGTTTTCAGACCTGGAGCCCATGGACTACATGGGGTCTAAGTCCCCTGGAAGAAGGACCCTGCAATACCACTGCATGTATATGTAGTAATGATTACTTCAGTTCTTTCCCCTGGTCATTTCATTAGGTAAGTGTGCACTGGAAGAAGGGAACTTAAACATTTTGAGAACTGTTGGACTGATGGGCATGGGGGTACAAAAGGTCTTTTCCTCAAGGTGGGGAGGGGAATACTCGGTAGTGCACTTTATACGCCAGAGAATTTCTGTGGGATCAGACTGAGGTTGGTCTCCATTTAAGACCAAATTATTCCCTAGCTTTTTCCTCTGGCCCTATCTTGCTTGCTTTCCTCCCTTCTCCTGAGAGCACCTCCCCAATAAATCTTGTGCACAAGAATCCTTGTCTCAGATCCTGCTTCTAGCAACCCAAGCCAAGATCACCTGTGTCTATTCATACACAAAACATTCATAGTGATCCCCAGCATGGTTGTGCCCTGGTCCGTTTATTCTACAAATGGTAGACTTTTGGGTTTATCTAGTCTTTTTCTATCACAGGCATACCTCATTTTATTGTGCTTTGCTTGATTGCTCTTCACAGGTGTTGCCTGTTTTACAAATGGAAGGCAAGATCCTTCACCAGCAGAAAGATTATGACTTGCCTGATTGTGATACTCACTTTATTATGGTGGTCTGAAACCAAAACCACAGCATCTCTGAGGTATGCCCTTACTCGATTTATTGCAGTGGTCTGGAACTGAACCTGCAATATCTCCAAGGTATGTCTGTACAAACAATGCTTCAGTGAACATCTTCGGATCTGACTCTTTATGTCCCATATGTCCTTAAACTTCTTTTTTTTTCCAATTTTTTAAATTAAATCTTTATTGTTCAGATTATTACATTTGTTCCTCTTTTTCCCCCCATAACTCCCCTCCTCCCAGTTCCCGCCCCACCCTCCTCCCTCACTCCCCACCCACTGTCCTCATCCATAGGTGCACGATTTTTGTCCAGTCTCTTCCCGCATCTCCCACACCCCTTTCCCCCCCAAGAATAGTCAGTCCATTCCCTTTCTATGTCCATGATTCTATTATAATCACCAGTTCATTCTGTTCATTAGATTATTTATTCACTTGGTTCTTAGATTCACTTGTTGATAGATGCATATTTGTTGTTCATACTTTGTATCTTTACCTTTTTCTTCTTCTTCCTCTTCTTGAAGGATACCTTTCAGCATTTCATATAATACTGGTTTGGTGGTGATGAACTCCTTTAGCTTTTCCTTATCTGTGAAGCTCTTTATCTGACCTTCAATTCTGAATGATAGCTTTGCTGGATAAAGTAGTCTTGGTTGTAGGTTCTTGGTATTCATCACTTTGAATATTTATTGCCACTCCCTTCTGGCCTGCAAAGTTTCTGTTGAGAAATCAGCTGACAGTCATATGGGTACTCCCTTGTAGGTAACTGATTTTCTTTCTCTTGCTGCTTTTAGGATTCTCTCTTTGTCTTTTGCTCTTGGCATTTTAATTATGATGTGTCTTGGTGTGGTCCTCTTTGGATTCCTTTTGTTTGGGGTTCTCCGTGCTTCTTGGACCTGTAAGTCCATTTCTTTCACCAGGTGGGGGAAGTTTTCTGTCATTATTTCTTCAAATAGGTTTTCAATATCTTGCTCTCGCTCATCTTCTGGCACCCCTATAATTCGGATGTTGGTACGCTTGAAGCTGTCCCAGAGGCTCCTTACACTATCCTCGCATTTTTGGATTCTTTTTTCATTTTGCTTTTCCGGTTGGGTGTTTTTTGCTTCCTCGCATTTCAAATCATTGATTGATTCTTGCGCTCCTCTGGTCTGCTGTTGGGAGTCTGTATAGTATTCGTTATTTCAGTCCATGTATGCTTAATTTCTAGTTGGTTCCCCATCATAACATCAAGGGTCTCATTAGTTTTCTTGTAGATCTCATTAAGTTTATCGGCGGCTTCTAAACAGTTCTTGAGAGACCTTAAAAGTGTGGTTCTGAACTCTGTATCTTCCATTGACAATTTTGTCCTGTTTCTTTGTCTCCGCATTTTGTTATGCTTTCTTGGTGCACCCCCTAGTGGTCTTTGTGCGCAGTCTTGTAGTTAAGCCTTGATTGTTGTAGCTAATACCAGGGAGGGTTTGACCTCCATGCCAAGTGGCTGTGAGAATCAGCTGTGTCTGCAGTGAGAGAACTTCTGTCCTCTAGGGAGGTGCTAATCTAGCCTTTGCCTGAGGCTATTTGGCAAATGCCTCTGTGCAGGGCTTGGGTGGGGCGGGTCGCACAGGATTAACAGGGTGGGCCGGAGAGAGCAGTTATGGCGGCTCTCAGTCCCGTCCCCAGGGGCTCTGCCTCTCTGAGTCCCATCAACCGCTGCAAACCTCGGAGAGAAAGCTGCACTCGCTCTGACCGAAGCCAGACAGTCCCGCTTCTCCCGTTTGAGTCTGGGTCCCTAAATACTCGCCCGTATCTGGAGCTCCGAGTCTGCGACTCCCTCCCGATTGAAAACGCCAACCGCGCCCTCCGCTGCCAGCCCGCTCCGCGCACTCCGCACCTCAGAATTTGACTTCAGCACTGCGCCTCCTCTGAGTGTCCGTATGCGTTTCTCTTTCCTCCTAGTTGTAGGACTTCCACTCAGCCAGCGTTCCTGTGGTTCTGGGTGATGTCCGTTCCGTCTTTTAGTTTCACTTTTGAAGTAGTTGTTCAAGGCAGCAAACTCCAGCGTTAACCTATGCCGCCATCTTGGTTCTCTAAACTTCTTTATATAACTTGTCTTCAGAAATGCTTGACTAGGATTTCAGATATTCACAGGAGGTCTCTGAATATTAGTTTTGTGGACTGTGGCTATATTCCAGGAAATTAATTACCTAAGGTTAATCATAAAAGAGTTCATGAATTATGAAGCTACACAGAGGTATTCACAAAGGGTCATAGAATAGAGAAATGGAAAGGATAAAGGATGGTTGGAGAAATAATTTGAGTTAGTGAGAATAGTCCAGATAAGTTTTGAGAAAGTGGTTAGATTTAAGTAGCATTTAGGAGTATTTTTACTAAAAAAAAATTAGAATATTAAGGCTAGGTAGGATTAAGTGGCAAACACAGATTTGAATGTTCTGGTTAATTAGGAGACTGAAGATATGAGGCAAAGGACTAAAGTAAAGATCTTAAAGTAGAACACAGGGAGTGTGCTTGGAGCTTACCTGGTCAGGGAGACTTCTGAGAGCTACTGCCACCATGCTTGGAAGACCTGATCCCTGAGATGACCTCTTTGTATTAAAACTTCTCGAGCAAGCATTGCCATTCTTGGTCTTGCACTGAGAGGGAGAAATTTGAGTCCTGCCAGTTGAATGTTCCAAGCAGAGTTTGAATCAGGGGAAGCTCATACAAAATATGGATGGCATCTTGAAAGTCTTCCAGAATGAACTCATATGCTCATCTGCAGGAACTGCTTCATAGACCCCCATCACCATAGACTGGGCACAGCTTTTGAAGGCCCTGTTTCTACCTCAGCTGGCCTAACAGGTCAGTCCTTGCTCACTGCTTTGATTGCCAGAAAGCAATCCAGCAGAGAGACTTTCACACAAATGTCTCTCTTAAGCAAATGGCTCTCACTGTCAGACAAGCCAGTCTGTGGCATTTCCTGTGCTCTAAGGGCAATAGGTGTAGGATACACATGGAGGCAAAGAAGATCTTCTGTGAGGACCAGAGGAGCCTGCTCTGTGTGCACTGCTCTACCTCCCAGGAGCATCAGGCTCACAGACACTGTTCAGTAGAAGAGGCTGCTGAGCAACACAGGGAGAAACTCCTCAAGACCATGTGCTCTTTATGGGAGAAATGCTGTGAAAATGACAGAAACCTGAATGTGGAAACTATCACAATCTGTTCTTGGGAGATTTATGTGATCTTAAAGGGTGAAGCGGTCAGAGCTAAATATGATAATGTGTCTGTATTTCTCTATTCGGATGAGCAATATTATATAGAGAGACTGCAAAGGGAAGGCAATGAGATTTTTGAACAACTCAAGGACAGTGAAGCCAGGATGGCACACAAGAGGGAGCTTTTAAGAGGAATGTATACAGAGCTGAAGGAAATGTGCCATAAAACAGATGTAGAGCTGCTCCTGGATTTTGGAGACATATTACACAGGAGTAAGGCAGTGTGTGTGCACATGCCCCAGCCTGTGAAAGCAGAGCTCACTGCAGTGACCGTCCTTGGGTTGATAGCAAGGTTCAACTTGTACAGTGAGATTATTCCTCTCTGTCTTGGAAGAACTCGCAGTCATGTCTTCCTACAGGGAGATTTGATAAACCTGAGTGTTGGATGTGCTATTGAAGGTGTACCATATACCTTTCCACTATCTGAATGTTTTCTTTTCTGGAGTACTCAGACTTTTCACCGTGGAAAACATTACTGAGAGATAGAAGTGGGAGACACTTGGAATTGGGCTTTAGGGGTCTCTTGTGATGATTGGATAGTAATGAATATAAATCTCCAGAAAGCATTCTATCTTCTTGGTTGTGCTAAAACCGACATGCACCACAATGTGTTCACCACCTCCCCACTTTTACTGCAATATGTGCCCAAACCTATTGGCCGAGTAGGGGTATTCCTGGATTATGAAGATGGAAGTGTGACATTTATAAATGTAGCAAAAAGTTCCCTTATATATAGACTCTCCTCTTGCTCTTTCTCTCCCATTCTCAGGCCTATCTATTTCTGTAGTCACTTCTGACTAGAAATATATTAGGAATCTTTCTATATGCTGGGGAACTCCAATATCTAAGGAAGCCCTTTTCCTGGTGCCCTATCAAATAAGACAATATGTTAATATGTTTTTTGTTTTTAATTTCCTTTTTTGTCCTGAATATCTATTTACTGTATTATTAAATATGATACCCTTCAAAGCATAAACAAACAAACAAACAAAAATAAGCAAAAAAAGATCTTAAAGTACAGTATTGGAAATTACAATCAAAATGACAACTTAAAGTACAACTAGGAATGAACTATTAATGAATACAAATGTCTATGAATCATTTTTCTTGAACTTATTTCCTGTAGTGATTTTCTGAAAGAACATTGTGCTCCTTTCTAAGCTTATTTTCTTTGTTTTAATCATCATCCCTCCCTTACTTTCTGTCTCCATTGCCAAGATCCAGGAGGCAAATATAGGCATGAGAACATGTCATGGATCATAAATGGACAAGCTGTGTGACTCAGGAGGTCAAACAAAAGTTGGGGCACAGGAATCCTGCTTTGGCTATGCTCTTACACAAAGGTCAATGGCTATGTTTTTAATGTATCCGTTAATATGGCAATGTGCATTTTGTGATCGTAGCATTCTATATGTTCCTACAGCATGCTGCTTCCACATCCATCATACCACAGTTTTCATTCTGACTTGCATTGTAGTTAAATTATTTACTATTTTTTGGTCACAAAGTAGTGCCTTCTGGGACACCTCTGGTCCATAGATAGGCTTCATTAGCTAACACATGCTCACATTAAAAATAGTTGCCAATATTTCAAAAAATAGGAGGCTTCTTATAAAAAGATGGGTTCCTGACTTCTGAAAACATGGAATCTGGCACACAGGGCCCCCATTTTCTCAGAACAACCAACTGGAACTGAACAGTGGCTGCCCTCATCAAATTGACATTGAATCTGAAAGTTGGTTACCATTTTTCATGGAACTGGCGTTGTTCCTTTAAAAGTGACATTAAAAAGACATGAAATATTTTTCTATATCCAGTTTCTATAAAAATTGGGAAAACGGAAAACAAAAGCTAGACTGAGAAGGGAGAGGACTAAGATTTAAAGGATAGAGGGTGGGTTGAAGAATGGGTTAGATTAGGAATGGAGATCTTGGACAAAACTGCTGAAATGGTAGAGGGAGAAAGTAGAGGAGGTAGTTGGGTCACTTCTCTCACCAGCCTTCTCTTTATTTTTTATTTTTTTCCTTTCACCAGCCTTCTCATAAGGAAACCACTTCTAGGGAATATTGTACAGTTTCTCTGCCTTCAGCTTAACTTTTCACTGAGTACCTATACTACACTAGGGATATGGTGGTGAACAAAAGGGACATAGGCCCTGCTCTCCTGGAGCGCACAGTTGAGTTGGGGAGCCAGACAAATACTATGAGGAAAAATAAGAGGGTGCTAAGAAAACAAACACTCAAGAAATATTTTTCCTCAGGGTCCATCCATGTTGTTGCAAATGGCAGAATGTTCTTCTTTCTCATGGCTAAATTATATTTCATTATGTACATATCTCACATCTTCTTTATCCATGAGTATATTATGCTTAGATAAATTAAGAAAGAGAAAGACAAATACCGTATGATCTTACTTATATGTGGAATCTAAAAAACCAAGCTCATAAAAACAGCATAAAATGGTGGTTACCAGGGATGGGAATAGGGTGTGGAGGGTAGGACAGATGTTGTTTAAGGGTACAAACTTACAATAAGTAGTGAAAAAGCTCTAGAGATCGAATGCACCATACAGTGAATGTAGACAACAATATATTATATTCAAACTTGCTAAGAGACTGGACCTTAATTATTCCAACCACTAAAAACAAATGATAATGTCATGCGATAGGGGTGCTAATTATCACTCCAATGGCAATCATATTATAATATTTATATGTAACTGTATCAAATTAACATACTGTACACCTTAAATTTACACAATGTTATATGTCAATATATTTCAATTAAAAAAAAAGAAAGGAAAAATTTCCTAATATAGGGTATCAGAGAAGGCTTTCCTGTAGAAGTAACACTTAAATTGGGGCTTGATGAGTAAAGTCAGGCAAAGAGGATGAGATAGAACTTCACTGACAGAGGGAACAGCATATGCAAGTACCAGGCAGGAGTTTGGCACCACTGAACACCTGACCGAAGATCAAGTGGATGTTGTTAGAGAGTAGGGAGGTGAATGGCTGAGAATGAGGCTGGAAGGGCTGACAAGGCCAATGCGCAGCCTCAGAGGCTATGGAAAGGAGTCTTTAGAGCAGCAGTAGTCGTCAACAGGTTTTAATAAAAATGTACATTAATTCAAATTTTGTTCTAACTCTTGCATCAGTAACCCAATAGTGAGTTCTTGTTCAGAGAAGGTTTATTATTTTCATTATTTTCTATGGTTAAAGTAGCTAAAGGTTTTTCCCATAGAGGATTTTTTTTTCCCACTTAGAAATAATAATTGCAGCACAAATCTCTGACCTCTGTGGACAATTTCTTTTAGGCGATATAAAATAAATCTAGAGAAAAACCTCCATTCTCTCCTGGCTCACTGGCCATATTAAAAATAATCAGAGTGGTGAGAGGTATAGTTTTTCAGTCATGGTAATTAATTTTAAAATTTAGAGGAGTATAAACAAAATCATTTTATTAATTAAGTCCTGCTCATTTCACCTTGGATATGTTTTTCCTATACTTCTCTGCCATTCTGACCTCACGGTTACTGCCCTCCTTCAGGCCCTTGATACTCACATGTGAATTATAATCTCCTCACTGTGCTCCCTACCAGTCTTCCAGCCATTACATGTTTGAGCTGGAAACCATCACTGTCATCTTTCTCCTGCTACTAGGCTGCCTATCCCACCATGTAACTCAGAAGCTTAAAGAATCCTAGCAGCTCTCCCATTGCCTACAACAGAATTTCTAAAGTGTGGCCCAGGACTCTGCTCATATATGTATTTCTTTTCACATGCATCAAACATCTCTGGAAGGATGCACAAAACGGTTAACATTGGTTGCATGCAGGTAGTGAGAATAAGTGGCTGGAAATGTGTAATTTTACTATTTTTTAAAGGAAGAATGGTTCAAGAGTGTATGAGTTTGCTACACCTGCTATAACAAAATACTGACGAGATATATATATATATATATATATATATATATATATATATATATATATATATATATCCCACATTCAAAGGCTGTTAAATTGTGTTGTTTACCCATATCTTCAGAAAAAAAATCACTTCTACTGTCATAAACAACCTGCTTCCCTACTTATTTCTTTATTTTTGAAAATATATTTTATTGATTTTTTTTACAGAGAAGAAGGGAGAGGGATAGAGAGTTAGAAACATCGATGAGAGAGAAAAATCGACCAGCTGCCTCCTGCACACTCCCTACTGGGTATATGCTCGCAACCAAGGTACATGCCCTTGCCCGGAATCGAACCTGGGACCTTTCAGTCCTCAGGCCGACGCTCTATCCACTGAGCCAAACTGGTTAGGGCTGCTTCCCTATTTATAATGGTCTGGCCCTCTAGCAACTTCAGAGCGAAATTATAGCTAATTTGCCTACAAACGTCAGGTGGTCATAATAATCTGGACACTCAGTGTACAACTTATGGTTCAACTTACGATTTTTTGACTTTACAATGGTGTGAAAGCAGTATATATTCAGTAGAAACCATACTTCACATTTTGAATTTTGGTCTTTTCCCCTGGCGAGAGATATGAGATGTGATACCCTCTCATGATGCTTGGGCAGCAGCAGCAGTGAGCTATAGCTCCCAGTCAAGTACATGATCACAAGGATAAACAAGTGATACTTTACATTGTACTGTGTTGCCGGCCTTCACTGCACTATTGTCTCTGTCCATGTGTTATGCCTATATGCATATAAGTTCTTTGGTTAATCTTTTTCCACCTTCCTCTTTCTGCTCTGAGATTCATCAGTCTGTTCCATGCTTCCATGTCTCTGGATCTATTTCGTTTGTCAGTTTATTTTGAATTTTGGTCTTTTCCCCAGTGAGAGATAGGAAATATGATATTTGTCTTTCTCTGACTGGCTTATTTTATATAGCATAATGATATCCAGGGACCTCCATGTTGTCTCAAAGGATAAGAGATCCTTTATTTTTACACTTGCATAGTATTCCATAGTGTAAGTGTACCACTGTTTTTTTATGCACTTATCTACTGATGGGCACTTGGGCTGTTTCCAGATCTTAGCTATTGTAAATTGTGCTGCTATGAACATAGGGGTGCATATATTCTTCCTGCTTGGTGTTTCAAGCTTCTTAGGATATATTCCTAGAGGTCAGATCACTGGGTCAATAATTTTGGGGGGAAACTTCACACTGATTTCCACAGTGGCTGCACCAGTCTGCATTCCCACCAGCAGTGCACAAGGGTTCCTTTTTCTCCACATCCTCGCCAGCACTTGTTGTTTGTTGATTTATTGATGGCACCATTCTGACAGGTGTGAGATGGTACCTCA